GCTCGGACATGTAGTGGGGCAGGCCCAAGGTGTCCAGCACCTTGAGCAGGGTCTTCTCGAATCCCCGCGACGTCTGCTTGTCCCTGCCCAGATGCCACAGCAGCTCGAACTTCTTGAAGCTGCGTGCCTGGCTCTCCCTCAGCCGCTCGGTGGACTCTGTGGGGCACAGTAGCTGGGCATCGCCCAGCCGCTCCAGCTGGAAGCTGCGCAAAGCGGTTCTCCCACTGCCAGGTATGGGCTGGGCCTGCAGCAGATGCTGCGCCTGCATTCGGTTGCCTATGACAGTCTCCACCAGGCCGCTCTCCAGGCAGCTGTGCAGCTGATGCAGCAGCGCCGCAATTTGCGCTGGATCCGTGCAGGCGGATCCCAGATAGTCCCACAGAATGGAGCTCACCAGCTGAAAGACTCGGGTCTGCTGCTCCATGTAGTTGACGTGGCCGAACTTTAGCAGCGGCAGCATCACCACAAAGGTCACTCCCGGACTCGTTGTGTGCTCGATCTGGGAGCGTAGTAAACTGTAAACAAAAGTCGTTGCATAAGTCGGCAGACTACGGAGAGGATTCTGGTCGCTTACCTGATCAAATCGAAGAGCGTTGTGATGGCCGACACCTGCAGTTCCTTGTCGCTTTGGGCAAAGCAGGCCACCAGACACAGCACCTTCAGCCAGTTCGGCAGCTCTGGCTCTAAAGGAGAAACAACGTTAAGGGAAAGTTCACTCTATGAAAGTGCCAGACCACTCACCGCTCTTGTCCAGCACAATGTGCTTGTTGCAGTTGGGAAACGTAGACATCTCCACGAGCAATGATGCCGCCAGTTTGACGGCCCCGCGCATGCTCAAACTCAGCTGCAGTTCGGCCAGCTGCTGAACACTGCGCTGCGTCTGGGCATCGATGAGCGGCAGACTCTGTTGCTGCCTCTCCGATGCCTCCGTGGCCTCGCTGTCGCTGCTTAGTTCGCTGGCACTGGCCAGCAGTGGCAGCGAGTGATTAAGCAGGCGCTGCAGTTGCTTAGAGCGCGGCACCTTGTCCACGCGCAGCAGATTGAACAGACGCTCGATTTGTGACTCGCGAATGGGGCATTCGTACTCCAGCACCTGCTCCACCAAGAAGAGGCTGGAGGTGTGGGAACTGTGGATGCTGCTGGTGCTGCGCTGCAGCTGAACCTTCACCGAGCACTCGGACGTGCCATCCGATTCGATTTGCAGCAGCTTGCGGGCCACGTACACCTCGAAAAAGATCTCGTACTGCCGGATGCACTTCTCCAGTATAGAGAATCCTCGCTGCTGGGTGGCTCGGCTCTCCTCGTCCAGATAGAACTGCGGCGACTGGTCGGGTGGGGCGCTCTTTGGCTGCTCGGCATCGTGGCCATTGTCAGCGGAGTCATTGGCGGCTGCAGACTGCACCAGTACAATGTCTTTGGGTCGCTGTTTCTTGGGACTACGTATGAAGGGCACCTTGGCCTTGGCCTTGAGCTTCTTGATGCTCCGCGGAGTGTCCAAGTCCGAGGATGACTGCTGGCCCGTGTCCGAGGCGCTTATCTGTGTAACGAGAACGGGTTTTCAGGTCATTTGTATTCAATAAATCTTGCCACACGAGACTACTCACGTCCTTGTCCAGCTCAGAGAGTCGTGAAATGGACTTGGCCTTCTTCTTGCTGGGACTCTGCCGTCCCACGTTATGATTGGAGGCCGAGCGTCGTATGAGATCCTCGTCGTTGGGATCTGCGCTTTGCAGCGAGTTCTCCGCAAACTGATTCAGACGCGAATCCGACTTGCTCTTCTCCAGAGAATTTCCCTGCGTGTGCGTGCCTCCCGGCACCCCCTTTTTGGCACTGTCGATGGCCACCGCATTGACTGTAATCTTCTCGTCCGATGAGGAGCCTGCGCACTGTTCCATCAGTTTGTTCAGTTTAATGGGACTTCTGTGGGAGAAACACAACAGATAGGAAGACGAAGAGGTTACCAAAGATCATTGTCTGTGTTCGCTTTTGTTTTGCTTACGTTATCATGGGCTGCACCCTCGAGACGATCTTCATGCAGAGCTTGAGGGAGGCGGTAATCTCGCTGCTGGTCACGCGATCCATGTGTAGGGACAGCAGCTGGGTGATGGCCAGGAATACTTTGGGCAAATAGACGCGGGTCGTCTCCGTGTACATTTCCAGGGAGACGGTCTCCAGCAGGAACTCGGTGAGCACGCAGATCTCCAGCACGCACGGATCGCCAGAGCCCACGTCGCAGGCAAATTTATCAGCTTCGGGCGAGTTCGCCTGCAGTTTTTCCTGCTTGTCCTGCGAGGAGTTTGCCTGCTGGCAGGCCCTCTCAAACATGTTGGTCATGTAGCTCCATATGTACGCCGGATCGAAGGTGGCGAAGAGCAGGTTGGCGGACTTGAGAGCCTCCGGATTGCCGCTGGATATGTACATGGCACGTATGATGTCGTGCAGGACGTAGTCGAGGACTGCGCTGCCAATCTCTGCCTTGTCCAGCAACGACAACATAATCCGATAGGGCTTCAGGTCCATGGGGGCACACTCCAGGCTCAGCCGCAGCGTTGTGATCAGAGCCCGGATCAGTACGTGCCTCGAATGCTTGACAAAGTACGGCACTGGCTGCTCGTCCAGCGGCGCTGAGGAGGCGTCCAGCGAGAGGGTGTCATAGGTGGGCGAGTTCTTGGCCACCTCGCTGCCCAGCAGCCAGCTAAACAGTCGCCTGTTCAGCGACATGTCGCGTCTCAGTATTGTATTAAGGCCGTTGGTGACCAGCTTGACCAGATCATCTTCGGCTAGCAGGCCCGTGTGCATGGGAAAGCCAAGCAGCAGAAACTCGAGCGTGTTGCGCTGCACCAGGATCAGAGAGTCGTTCAAACAGGCACACAGCGCCGACATCATTATCTCCCGATTGTGGCCCATGACATAGATTTGCTCCTGCATGTCCAGTCGCTTATTGAAATGCTCCAGCAGGTAGGTGATGGCTGGCAAACGGATCGCCGCATTGTTGGCCACCGACTCCCACAGCACCGTGTAGAAGTGCATGGGATTGACGGCATTGCACACTTGCTTCAGCAGCGCACTTATCCGCTCGAAGTGGTCTAGGCCGCAGTCGTAGCCGGGCAGCACACCGTTCAGAAATCCACTCAGAGCAGGCCGCAGCTTGTCTCCGAGCGGCACGAAATATGTTTCATAGATGGCCAGCAGTGCGGGCCTCACATTCATGGCAGCATAGCCGAGCAGCGGGAACAGTCCAGCGCTGGAAGGGCAAATGCAGAAGAAGGATTAGAGAATAATCTACGAGCAGCGGTATGCTGTAGACTCACCTGTAAATAAACTCTGTGGCCAGACGCTCGGGACCAGTCTTGCTGAATATCACCGAGTAGGTCTCAAGGGCTTTCAGATGCACTCCCGATGGCAGGGCGGGGTGCATGCATTGGGCCAGACGCTTGGCTATCTTCAGGCGTCTGGGTATGACCTGATACTGCGTATTGCTTGATATTGCCTGCCAAAGTAAAGAACAAACAAAAATGAATTCAGTTGAAAACAAGCTGCGAAGCGATAAGAATGGTTGGTGATTCAGCACACGCATCCGAGCTCGACCCGGTCATATCTCGGTTGCCACATTGGCGGCGATAAAAGCCCCCTTGGGCTGGTGCTCGATGCTGGGTGATTCAATACCTTGCTAAGTTTGCCCAGGGCTGATATTAAATCCGCCCACTCGCTGGAGTACTCGAAATTGCGCAGCGCCTTGTCGATGTTCGTCATGTAGTTGCGGTACTTGGCCTCGGCCATGAGCTTCTGCTCCTCCATGAGTGCGTCTGCAGACTCCATGGCGACGTCTTTTGCCAGTCGGCTGTTGTTCGCTTTTCAATATAACTGCTTTCAAGATTGAGTCCGTTGGCTTAGTTGGAGCACTGTACAAAAAAAATAATCAATAGTAATTAACAGAAAGCAAACACAAACACTTGTTGCCGTTGTTGGAGTCCGATTCGGTGGTCGTCATCGTGTCGCGTCGTCGCTTCGCGTCGCGTGTCCTTGGGCTTGAATTCTTTATGGCCCTTTACAGTTGTTTCAATTTTAAAGCGCTCCGCTGCCCCTGCTCTGCATATTGGAAAAGTGTGGCATCCGGAACACTTGCCTGCTTACACAAGGGGCGTAGGAGGGGGGGTTGGCTGATTTTTTGAGCTAAATGCAGTTGTCGTAACTGAGAAAGGGAATAACGGGATGGGGCACGGGAACGGGCAAGGGTGGCTTCTTTGTTGGCTGATTATTCCTACATATGTACACACACACCGCCGCCAGACACAGCACGTACCCCACATACGTTTCGCTTAATTGAGTTTCTAAACCAATTTCGAATTTCACCTTGTTAACCCCCGTTACGTTCCGCGTAGAGTATTCCACTTTTTATTTGTTATCAACAATTCTCGAGAATTTATTTGAACCGACGAAAATCTTGCCCTTCTGCGTGGCAGGATAAAGTATTTTATTTCGTCCAAGTCGCTCTCTCCTCTCGACTGCAGCGACTGTTGGCAGAGACTAGAGACCAGCTGATGACGAATTTTTGCTGTATGCACGGACCAGCGGGTAGAGGGACAGCGCGGTGCGCGTGACGATGGCGAAGCGGAGTTCGTACAGGCAGAAAGAGACAGACTTGTATTGTGTTTGTTTTCGATTCATATACATTTTTCGGTTGCAGCGATTAGATTATTGCATTTGGCAATGTTGGGGCACATACCACAGCTTTCGTTGGTTGGTTTTAATACATTTCACATTATTTAATATTGCACTTCTGTTTGTGTGTTGTTTTTTTTACATGGCAAATTTTTTGCTGTAACTTGCTAGAGATGGCCGATTATATTATCTCTCTGTGACTTGTCACAAGTATTTTTAAGTAACCGATAAAGTAATCGATACTCACCCAACTCCAAATAATCGCTATTAATTGTGAATAATCAAATTTTTAACAGATTTTTGCAACAAATATTCGAATTTGAATGAAAGTCAATAGATTTAATGCCTCTTTCGCAAACTCATTAAATTACTAACTGAATCTGGGTACAATTCAAATAAATACAAAGTTTGTTAAATGCAAACGAAATTAATTAAGCAAAATGACTGGAGATGTGCCAGTCCACGACTAAGGTTTGTCGCCATCGAATGCGTGATTAGAAAGTTGAGGTAAAAATGTCCAGCATACTAATGGAGGATTTACACACTTTACTTTTTCTTCTTGCCCTTGCTCTTGGCCTGTCCGCCAGCGGGGGGTGCACCAGTTAAAGCCGCCAGTTCGTTCTTCAGGCCCAATAGAATTTCAAGTTCGGGCTTCCACACAGCGACATCCCCAGCGGCCTTTAGGGTTCGCACCTTTTCAGCCTGCTGATTAAGTTTTTCTTCCAACGCTTTCACTTTGTCTGCATCGACCGACGGGGCAGGAGGAGCAGCTGCAGCGGGAGCCGCTTTGGCTGCCTTCTGAGCAGCCTCCAGCTGCTTCTTCAGATCGAGCAGCACATTCACCTCTGGCTGCCACACAGATTTGTCTTTTGTGCTGCCCTTCAGGTTTCGCACTTTCTCGCCCTGCGCCTGCACGGCCTTCTCCAGATCCTGCACCGACTGTGCACCGTTCGATGGGGCAGAAGCAGAAGCTGGCGCCGAAACGGCGGACTTCTTAGCCTCCTCCAGCTGCTTCTTCAGGTCCAACAGTTTGCTGACTTCTGGCTGCCACACTGCCTTGTCCTTGGTACTCGCCTTAAGCTCTCGAACCTTATCGGCCTGAACCTGCACAGCCTGCTCCAGATCTGCGGCACTTGACTGGCTCTGCACGTCCGCAACCGTATTCGATGCCTGGGATCCGCCATACTTGCCCTTGAGCTCATCAATGAAGGACTGCTCCAGTTTGGCAAAGAGTGGCGCGGGCTTGCCGATCTTGTGTCCAGCTGGGAGTAGCACGGTGGCCAGCGGCTTCCTAAATAAAGAGTTTCACGCGCAGTTTAGTTTAGGATAGATCTTTGCTGAGGCACTGGGCCAGGCCATTTACTTACTCGGCATTGAGCGGCGTCTGTTTAGCGTTGAGCTGAGCAAAGAGGGTGCGTGCCGTGGCGGGCATGTAGGGGAAGAGTAGGTTGGCCAACAGACAGGCAATGTTGGCGCACAGAGCAATGATGGTGGCGGCGCGCTGCTTCTGCTCATCGCTACCCTTGAGGAGCACCCAGGGCTGCTGGGTCTGCATGTAGCCGTTGCCATGCCGGGAAATGGCCAACAGATGGCGAATGCCATCGCGCAGCTTGGCCTTCTCCAGGGAGTTGATGTAACCACGCAGCTCGCGGTTGACCAGGGCCAGCAAAATAAGCTCTTCCTCTGTGGCGACCACCTCGGGCACGGTGCTGTTGAAGTTCTTCTCGCAGAAGACCAGAGCACGATTGACAAAGTTGCCCAAATTGTTGAGGAGCTCGGAGTTGTTGCGTGCGGCCAGATCGTTCCAACTGAAGCTGGAATCCTGGCCCTCTGGTCGAGCCGAGGCCAGATAGAAGCGCCAGACATCTGCCGGAATGCCCGTCTCCTGGGCATCGTTGCCAAAGACTCCAATGCCGCGACTCTTGCTGAACTTTCCGTCCTCGTAGTTCAGATACTCGGTGGCCATGATGTGCGACACAAGCGTGTGCCCCTTGTTGATGGCCAGCAGCACGCTGGGCCACACCACCGAGTGGAAGGGCACATTGTCCTTCGCCATGAACTGGAACAGTTCCACGTCGGTGCCCTTGGCTGGCTGCCACCACTGCTGATACTCCTTGGTGTAGCGCTTGGTCATGGACACATAGCCGAAGGGCGCATCGAACCACACATAGAAGACCTTCTTTTCAAAGCCGCTGTGGGGCACGGGGATGCCCCACTTCAGATCTCGTGTGATGCATCGTGGCTTGAGGCCCTCCCTCAGCCAGGCTCTCGTGATCACCTTGGCATTGTGGGTCCAGCCGTTTTCCGACTTGTCCACCCACTCGCGCAGCCGGGGCTCAGCCTTGGGCAGATCGATGAACAATTGATCCGAGGAGCGGAGGATGGGTGCAGTGTTGCACACTTTGCAGCGTGGACGAATGAGTTCGGTGGCTGTCACCAGTTTGCCGCACTTGTCGCACTGATCGCCACGGGCATCTTCATAGCCGCAGCCAGGATGCGGACAGGTACCTTCCACAAAGCTAAAGAGATTCAAAGATTAAATGAATGCAAAGAAAAACGCAGGAAAACCCACCGATCGGCCAGGAAACGGTCGCACTTCTGGCAGAGCAGCTGCTCCACGCTGTCTGTGATGATGTAGCCAGCTTTTTGGACATCCTTGAATGCCTCCTGCACAATGCTGCAAAATCAACAGAATATTATTTCGCCACAGCCACAGCGACAGATTCACTCACTCCGTTTGCTCCTGGGTGGTGGTGCGGCCAAAGTAATCGAAGCCAATGCCAAACCAGCGGTAGATGGAGTTATGCAGCTCAAAGTACTTGTCGCAGATCTCCCGGGGAGTAAGGTTCTCGGCCAGGGCCTTGTTCTCCGTGGCGGTGCCGTATTCATCTGTGCCGCAGATGAGCAGCGTGTTGTAGCCAGCTGAGCGGGAGTAGCGTGCAAAGATATCAGCAGACAGGACGCAGCCAATTATGTTGCCCAAGTGGGGAACGTTGTTAACATAAGGCAGGGCCGAAGTGATGAGCACGTTGCGTTCGCCTGCTTTGGGCAGCACTGTGCGCTCCTGCGGCACATCCTTGTGGGCTGTGTACGTGAATGCAGCGCCTGCTGCAGCTAGTTCCGCATCTGTGACTGTGTCCGCGACTGTGGATGCTGTTTCGGCCAACAGTTTGCCCGAATCCGCCAGGCTAAGACGTTTCAGCGGCACATGATGGAGTCCGCCGTAGCGATTCGACTGCTGCAACGCATTGAAGCTAAGATCCTTCAGCGGCTGCTCGGCCAGCACCTGTTGCACCTCGGGCAGCGCCTTCACCCGGTTGTACCAGCCCTGCAGACTGTCCAGGTTCTGCGCACCCTTGAGCGTGCCATCCGGAGCCAGCAGCGACCAGACGGCGATGTCAGCAGCGGTCAGCTTGTCACCAGCCAGGTACGGAGAGGCTTTCAGGCAATCGTCCAGCTTCTTCACCAGAGCATTCAGCACTGGCAAGGCGTTTGGGTCCGCGCGATGTCCCACGGCCATGTGATGGGCGAGGGCAGGAGCCAGCAACGTGATCGCCCACTCCAGCCACTGTGGGAGAAACCCAAAATATTGTTACACGAATTGGTTTGACCTTGAAGGGGCATTGCTTAAATTAAGCACAATTATGCCTGTTTCCGTACCTCATCCCTCAGCTGGCCCCCATCCGCCAGCAGATACTTGGCGACGGCAGCGGGTGAGAACAGCCGCAGTCCATCGTCCAGCTCCAGTGTGGGCAGAATCAGCAAATCCTTGAACTTGGCATCTGTAACGCAATGCAATTATTGCATGAGCCACTAATTGGTTAGTCACAGTGCACCGCATACTAATGGAGTTTTCCCTTACCATTTAGGTTAACCAATTGCACCTGCACCGACCGCTTGGCGAATTTGGCCAGCATCAGCAGCTGCAGTCCCAGGGGATTGCCTTCGTTTGTGTATATTATCATCTTGCAGAGATCCAAGAACTACTTCTAATTCAATTTACGTGGCAGAAAGGGTTAAAATAAATTCTACGAAGTTTTGCTGCACCGCACGCCAGCGTGAACGCGGAAATATCGATAGTCGATAAATATCGAAATACCTCAGACACAATAAACTAGTGTTGCACAGCATGCTGAAACGTTGAAAACAGCTGTAGCAGCCAGGTTTTATTTACAAATTCGTGCGAAATGGGTGAACGTAAGGGACAAAATAAATATTATCCGCCCGACTATGATCCGAAGAAGGGCGGACTCAACAAATTCCAGGGCACGCATGCCCTTCGGGAGCGTGCCCGGAAGATTCACCTGGGCATCATCATCATCCGCTTTGAGATGCCCTACAATATCTGGTGCGACGGCTGCAAGAACCACATCGGGATGGGTGTGCGCTATAATGCGGAGAAGACCAAGGTGGGCATGTACTACTCCACACCGATCTACAAGTTCCGCATGAAGTGCCACCTCTGTGACAATCACTTCGAGATCCAAACAGATCCCGGCAACCTCGACTACACCATCCTGTCTGGTGCGCGACGCCAGGAGAACCGCTGGGATCCGCTGCAGAATGAGCAGGTGGTGCCGGAAACGAAGGAGGTGCAGAAGCGGCTCTTCGACGACGCCATGTACAAGCTGGAGCACCAGGCCAAGGATGCCAAGGCAGCCGCCGACGCCAAGCCTGTGCTCCAGAAGCTGTTCGAGCGCAACCAGAGCGTGTGGGACGACACCTACGAGGCCAACTGCCGCCTGCGGACCGAATTCCGTCACCAAAAGAAGGAAATAAAGGGCCAGCAGGAACTGGATCGCCAGCTGCTGGCCAAGAGCAGTCTCGACTTAACTCTGCTGCCAGAAACAGACCAGGACCGGCAAATGGCGGCACTGATGAAGCTTCAAACCAAATCGGCCATTGAGCGGGCATCAGAGCAGCGCCTGGATCTACTCATGCGACCGGCATTGCCCGGAGCCACTGCAACAACGTTCGGTGGCCTGAAGCGGCAGAAGATTCTCAACTCACAGCTGCAGCTGCAGGATTTGGGCATTCGACGGAAGCAAGTCCAGTCGGACCAGTCCGCTGATGTGGCTTCTGCTCCCGATAAGTCGGAAGATGGGGCTTCTGTTCCCGAAAAGTCGTTGAGTCTGGTGGGAGAATACTCCTCCTCGGATAACGACTCGAACAGTTAATGCACAATAAGTATAATAATACAAATTAAAATAAGAACAACAATGACACGCCAAACAATCTCAATACTCCTCATTAGCCACCGGCGGCACCAGAGCTGTGTCGGGAGCGGCGTTGCCATTGGCATTTCCGTTGCATCCTAGGCTGTCTGCTGCAGCGGGCTGGCCATCAATGGTCTTGTAGAGCACGGCACAGATGCGATTGCAGAACTCCACGTGCTTGCCTCCGTTTATCATGTCGTCCATGAAGCCTTCGATTTGGAGCAGCTTGTTGTAGCACTCGTCGCGTGCCACCACGGCGCTGTCTGTCTTCAGGCTCAAGGTCTGAATCTCGCTCATCAAGTCGCTAATAGTTAAATCGTCCTCTGCGCTTATATCGCTGGATAGTGGCGAAACTACCTTGGCAAGTTCCTTGGCGAAGCCGCGTGGCTTGATGGGCTTTGGAATGGGCGCGTTGGCCGCTGATTTGATATTCTCCATGCCAGGAGCCTGCGAGTCGAAGAACTTCTTGAACCACTGCAGGAACTCAAAGTTGTCCTGGAAGCGGCCCTTGATCAGGCGATCGATGGGCACCGTTTTGTCCAGCTTGAGCCGTGTAAAAGCGCCCTGGAATAGCTTCAGATTGTGCAGGCACTCGTGCTCCAACTTGGCGCTCATCTTCACGCGCTTCAGGTTGATGCAGCTTGGGAAGATCAACTCCATCATTTGGCAGTAGGCAACACCTAAGGGAAAGGCCTGAATACTGAGTATGAAGATCGTCAGCGTGCTTGGAGCATCTCTCACCTGAGCACAGCTCTTCGATCTTCTTGAACTTGCCCTGCACCATGGTATTGACCCATTGGAGCATGTCATGGCGCGACATATTCTCTCCATTGACGCTGGTCAGGGACACGGTCATCTTAAGGTCACTCATTGTTCGATCTTTTCGTTTCTGTTTCTTTTTTCACTAGAATAAACGTTGACGGGATCTGTCGCGTTCGTTCTGGCTCAAGCGAAAAAAATTGACTCAGGAAAATAATATTTTTGTGAGACTTAAAAGCTTGTATGGAATGGGCCCGGCCTACTCCGTTTATAAAATGGTTTCAGTTTTCCTTTTGCTTTATTTAACTATCGTTGCTTTGCCTTTGTCCTTCCTTTCTGCCGCCACTTTTGCGATTGGCGCACAGCTTCCAATTAATACATTCCAGGATCCAGTGACGGGAAGAAGGGATATTATGATATTCACATGCTCGTGCTATCGATATCAAAGCTATCGATATCAGAAGAGCGCCCTTTTATTTAAACTTTAAAAAAATTAGACTACAGTGGCTTCACCCTAAACTTCTGCTCCACCTTCTGGACGAACTCTAGGAAGTCCTTGTGCAGCACCTTTGGCACCTCGAGGGCGGCAAAGTGTCCACCCTGCTTGTGGTATGTGCTGTGTATCAAGTTCGGGAACTTATCCTTCATCTGAATATCCAGGTTGTGCATGATGTCGCTCTTGAAGCGTGCACAGCCAGTTGGCACCGGAGTGGGAACGCGGTCCAGCTGCAGCTCACGCTGCTCTTTGGAGTATGCCTCGGCGTACAGGCGCTGAGAGGTGGTGATCGAGTTGGTCAGATAATATATCATTACATTGTCCAACAGGGTGTCCATGGTGTAGCGCTTTGTGATGCCGCCATCGGGCAAACCGCGGTAGCTGGGATTGGTCCACGTGGAGAACTTCTCCAGAATGTAGGCGGCCAGGCCGACAGGGTTGTCGGTGAGGGCTGCGCCAACAGTGTCCGGCTTGGTGGCTTGAATGTGGAAGTAGCCGCTTTCCTCAATGAGAAAGGCTAGGGCGCGCGACTTGGGGAAGAAGAAGTCCTCGAAGCCACTGGGCACAAAGAGACTGGGCCAGAAGCCGGCCAATGCGCCGATCACTTGGGACTTGGGATTCATGTTGGTGCACATATTCGAGTGGTAGCCAAGCACGTTATCCGGGAAGAGGGTGGCCATGTGGTTGCCAATGATGCTGCCCCAATCGCCGCCCTGAATGAAGTACTTGTTGTAGCCCAGGCGTGCCATAAGATTGCTCATAATCACGGCCACTTGGGCAGGTCCAAGCCCCGTACGGGAAGTACCCTGTAGCAAAAAGATCATTATTTGTGGAAGGAGCATATTATAGCTTTGACTTCAACCTACCTCGGACCAGCCATAGCCTGGCAAACTGGGTACAATCACGTCAAAAATATACTTGTTGTTCTTATCGAGATTGGTCTGATGGAGCAGATGGATCAGATCGTAGAACTCGCGCACCGATCCCGGCCAGCCGTGCAGCAGGAGCACCGGATAGTGGTGCTTGCCCACCTTGTTGTCGTCGTAGACCATCAGGTGGAGGAAGTGCATGCGTAGCCTGAAATTGTCAATCATTCATTATCATTGGACCCGCTCGGGCGATAAGCGCTTATCTCCTCACCCCTGAATATCGGTGGTGAAGTGATTGAATTGCCAAAGGAAGACTTCACGTTCGCGCCAACGCGGCAGGTAATCGTCTCTCCAGTACTCCACCACTTCCTTTAGATAGTTTGTGTTGAATCCGTACTCGAAGGCAACGCCCTCCAATGGGGGCGTCAGGCGGAGAGTGCGATTCAGGCGGCCAAACAAATCGGTAATGGTCTGGGGAAGGGAAAACTCTTAGATTCTGTTACTTGGAATCTTTGCTCAAAAGGCTTACCTTCTCCGGATAGCTAAGGCGATTACCGATCACTTCCGAATTGTTGGCCAGATAGGCAGCATAGTCCTTGGGCTGTGCCGCATCGCCCCACCATTGCTGCGTGTCCAGTTTCGGGGCCGGCAAATCTCCCCACAGTTGGCTAACATTCCTATAGACCAAAGCGCCGCCAATGGCCAGCACCAGCACCAGAATTTTCACTGTGACGGACATAACGAAGCGACTATACCTGATACCGCGACAGCTCAACACACAATGACCGCACCGCTCCCGTCGTAGTCTAATCAGAATATCACTAAATACATATGTACATGTATGTGTGTATAACGCTAACTGTCAATTCTTCTAGGCTGCAGCTCTAGCATGAGTATCATTGTTGTGGGCGCAGCTCAGCTCTCGCTCTCAAACTTGTAACTCATGATGATAAGCATTTTTGTTTGGCAAACTAATGCTCTACGCACGGTGAGTTGATCAGTCGAAGCTTATCGTGGCATTACTTGACACTCTGTAGCGGTTTTCCAGGTCATTCAAGCCTGTGCTTTTGCTTTGATTGTTTATTTTACTGACAGAGCTTTTGGTTGAGCAAGAGAGAGCGCGAGCGAGAGTAAGCTTTGAGCTCGCCGTTAGCTGATGATATTTTGCGACGCAGCTGAAACGTTGCCGGGCCCAGGTAGGCAAATTGCCACTCTGGGACTGACTTGGGGGTTGGTAAATGTGCACGAAGCTTTCACAGAGAGCTACCTTTTATGATCTCCACATGTTATGCAAGAGTTTCAGAGTTTACACATACAAAACTTTGTGGGGACTCTTTGTCTGTATGCGAGGCTCTTTAACTTTCGGTTTTTTTAAATAAGATAAGGCAAATGCTATCAAATGGTTTGGGGTTTAGTTTAATTTCCAAGAATGCGATTGTGTGGGAAGAGAGAGAGAGAGAGGAAAACCTAAGCGTATTTATTGCATTCCAAGCGAGTACGAAATTTCGGGCTTAGAGTTCAGCTTTCTGCACAAAGGCCGTGAAGTCTTCGTACAGCTGCTGCGGCAGCTCGAACGCAGGAAAGTGTCCGCCGTCCTGCTGGTGGGTGCTGTGCACCAGATTGGGGAACTTGTTGGTCAGCACGCCGTCGGGCACGTGTAAGAGTTCATAAGCGAATCGAGTGCATCCAGTCTTGGCCGTAATGGGCAGTGAATCGACAGCCAGGGCAAATTGTGCCTTGCTCATTGACTCGGAGTAGAGGCGCATGGAGGTGGTGATCGAGTTGGTCACATAGTAGATCATGATGTTATCCAGCAGCTGGTCGTAGGTGAAGCGCTTGGTAAGGCCGCCATCTGGCAGCGTCTTGAACGCAGGATTCGTCCACGTGGAGAACTTTTCCCCGATGTAGGAGGCCAGACCAATGGGATTGTCGATCAAAGCGTTGCCAATGGTGTCCGGCTTGCTGGCCTGAATGTGGGCATAGCCCATCTCCTCCATGAGGAAGGAGAAGATGCCGCCAAAGCCCTTATAAAAGTGCGCGTTCTGTTCATCAACGAACCAACTGCGAAAGACAAACGACAGCATCAGCTTCAGGCTGCCCATGGGACTGTTGTTTGCGCACATGTTCGAGTGATAGCCGAGCACATTCTCCGGGAAGAGCGACGCCACATTGGAGCCGATCAGCGAGCCCCAGTCACCGCCCTGCACCACGAACTTGTCAAAGCCCAGACGCACCATCAGGTTACGCAACACCACAGCCACCTGGGCCACGCCAAAGCCAGTCTTTGAAGATCCCTAATAGCAGCAGGAGGAGGAAGAGAGTTAATCATTGCTGGGAAGTAATGCACGCTTTTAGACCTACCTGAGACCAGCCATAGCCTGGCAAGCTGGGCGCAATCACCTCGAAGACGTAGTTGCTCTTGTCGCTGCCTGCAGTCAGCAGGGGAATAAAATCGTAGAATTCGCGAACGGTGCCCGGCCAGCCGTGCAACAAGAGGAGGGGGAGCACCTTCTTGCCCTTCTTAATGGCCTCCTTGCTCGGCTTTGCATGAATAAAGTGAATTTTCAATCTGCAACAAAAGTGCGCAACAGAGTTTAACCAGAGGTTAGCAATGTCAATTGTTAATGCGTTCCAAGTTCCACAACTAAATATGCACGAACCGAGCGAGCACTCGTTCAAAGCAGCTGCAGCTGCAGCTCCATCTACTCACCCCTGTATTTCGGTCTGGTAGTGATCCAGTTTTTTCAAATACTTCTCGCGCTCACCCCACTTGGTCAGGTATGTGTCTCGCCAGTATTTCACCACCTTTTGCAGCTCATTCGCATTGAACCCGTACTCAAAGCCCACACCCTCCAGCGGTGCCTGCAGCTTCAGGGGACGACTCAGTTGGCTCTTCAAATCTGCAATGACCTGGGCAACAAAGCATCACAATAAGATCACATGGAATACACGAATAAATGCTCCCTTACCTCTGGATTGACGCTGATGTCATACGGCAAGATGGCCTTGTTCTCTTTGTAGTTTTGCTTGCTCAGCTCTGGTCCCCAGTAGGCATTGTTGTCAAGCTCGGGCCGCTTGCCGGGCGCCGACAACTCGCGATAGTTCTTGTACCCAATGGCGGCCAGCATGGCCAGGCCTCCGACCAGGAAGCGAACAAATAAATTTGTCATAATGTTTGCTTTACTTTAATTTATTTTAATTCCACAATTGCACACAGCCGATCGGCTCGGATCACTGCACAGAAATAATTTTGGTTTGCCAAACACAAGGCGCACGAAAGCTTTGGCCCAGCCGGCCGGCCTGCTTGTGGATTCCATGTGGACTGTGGCTTCTATTTTAAGCTTTGTAATCGCAACTGTCTGCGCCTGCAATGCGAGCATGATGAGGCGATATTATTACAAAACGATTCATGCTTAGAATGTTAATGGATAACACTACGAACAATTCGAAACGAAATATACTTGTGATCTACATGACCGGCTAGAATTTCAATTATAAAGTGCCGACGGCGCTGCTGACACTCGCTGTGGCTATGGGATTGACCACAAATTGAATTATCAACAGGCGAAAGCTGCAATTGGAAACGAAGCTTTTACCGACATCAAACTGCTACGAGCTTTGGCCAAGCAATTGTTTTGCTTTTTGTTTTGATCGTAAATAAACAAATTAATGTTATTTTTTCTTGGAATTTGGAACTTTGCTTGGAAGCGTACCAATTTGGGCAATAATACCATCTACCCACCCGTTCCAGTATTAAACTTGATGTTGATCTTTGCTAATCATAGGTACAAAAATCTACTTTATTTTGGCTTCTCACCATGAAGACCGATCTTGCCCACGAAGGCTGTAAAATCCTGGTAGAGCATGGCGGGCATCTCCAAGGCGGCAAAGTGGCTGCCCTGCTGGAAGTACATGGAGTGCTTCAGGTTGGGGAACTTGTCGCGCAGCTGCCAGTCCGTGACGGAGGGCAGGTCGTAGCGGAAACGGGAACAGCCCATGGGCACGGGCGTGGGCACTCGGTCCAGCTGCAGATTGGTGTACGCCTTCGACACGTTCTCCGCGTAGAAACGCACCGCAGTGGTGATCGAGTTGGTCAGATAGTACACCATGAGGTTGTCCAGCACCGGCTCGAGCCCAAAGACCGTGACGATGGCCCCAAAGTCCTGCTTCACGCCGGGATTCGTGCAGGTCTGGAACTTCTCGAGAATGTAGGCGGCCAGGCCCACGGGACTGGTGGTGAGTGCCGCACCAATGGTGTCCGGCTTGGTGGCCTGAATGTGGAAGTAGCCGCTCTCCTGCAGCAGCTCCGCGTACTTGTCCCACACGGGGAAGTGGTGATCGTAGAAGAAGCGCGAGGGTATAATCTTCTCCGAGAAGTACGTGCCATAGATGCCCTTGAGGATGGCCAAGGGCGAGTTGAGCACACACATGTTGGAGTGATAGCCGATGACATTCTCCGGATAGAGTGTGGCCAGATTGCTGCCAATGATGCTGCCCCAATCGCCGCCCTGAATGAAGAACTTCTTGTGGCCCAGACGCAGCATTAGGTTCCTCATGACGGTGGCCATTTCGGCGGCATTGAAGCCAGGACGACTGGCAGCCTATGCAGGGGCAAGGGACACACGATTAGCAAGAATTGAATGCAGTTTTGGTGTAGCAAAAACTCACATCAGACCAGCCATAGCCCACCAGGGAGGGAGCCACCACCTCGAAGGCATAATCCGTCACATTCTGATCGTTGGTCAGCATGGGAATTATGTCGTAGAACTCGCGCACCGATCCCGGCCAGCCGTGGAGCAGCAGCAGCGGATAGACATGCTTCTTGGCGGCTGCCTCCTCGCTCGCCTTCTCGCGTATAAAGTGAATGTTCAGGCTGCAAGAAAGGAAATAAAATGAATAGATTAAAGTACAAATTTCGAGATGAAATGCAAACGAACCCCTGAATCTCGGTGGTGTACTGCTTGAATTTGTTAAAGAACTCCTGGCGCTCATCCCACTTGGTCAGATACTTCTCCCGCCAGTAATCGACAAACTGTTCCAGTGCATGCGAGTTGAAGCCATACTCGAAGGAGATGCCATCGAGTGGATCGGTGAGGCGCAGGGTGCGATTCAGCTGCTGACGCAGATCCTCAATCTCGGCCTGTGGCACGCTCAGTCGGAACTCGTTGATGCGCTTATCGGGCACATAGTCCTTGCCATCGCCGGGACCCCAGTAGGTGTTGTCGCTGATCTCTGGCTTCGGCAGCGGACGCGTCAGCTCCGTGAACACCAAATAGCCATAGCCGACAAAGGCTCCGAACACGGCCACAATCAGTCCGAATATTATCAAGCACTTCATTGCCGCAAATTAGCTCTTCTTGGCTTGAATTCAAATGAGCTGCGAGCACAACGACAGCCGTAGATAAGCGTCCCAAGATTCCCTTCTCAAATGTCTCGACAGAACCGCACGCCCAGCGAGCCGTTATCGAACTGACTGGCTCCGCTCCTCCAACAACGAACGACTCTGCCCGATGCCCAAAGCTCTATCAAAGTTTAATGTCTTTTTCTATGTACTATAAACTAATAATAAATTTTGATAAATTCGTGCATGCATATACTCGCGTGAACAGTGGGACCAAATGCTGTGCGACCTTTCCACTCAATCTTTCAACTCTCTGTTAACTGATGTTTTTGGCTATTTGCACTGACTGTGTGCCTGTTAATGAGTGACTAAGTGTCTGGGGCCATAGGGCAGTTGGGCAAAACAAAAAGTCATTGGCTTCATTGAGAATTTCTGCTGGTTCCACACCAAGGTGCAGCTGCGGTTCGTTCACACGTCTGCACCTTGAATGGGCCATTGATTTGGCTGAGCGATACACATTTATAGAGACTACAATGTGTCGTCTAGCTATGGGAGAGCTGGGTAGCCACAGCTACTTATAAGCAAGTCATATCTTATCAGAGAACTCGAACTCAACTTATTTATTGGTAAGCGCTGTGGCCTGCCTGCCGGTAAATGATCATAAATCTGAGCACCGTTGCCGCCGCGGATGTGGCTCGCTGTGCATGAATTTGGGTAGATCAGTGGGCCACGTGTATAACACTCAGGAAAACACTCCCATGGCAGATAGAACTTCGAACCACTTCCTGCCCTTGGCCCGTCTGCTGTGCCCGCTAGGACGTGACTAGGGAGACCCTTCCTGTGGGTGGACCCAGTGAGGGTCAAGCACGTTGGTCGAAACCCTGCATTATGCATGTATAATTGCTAGAGCTGAGGCAGTGTACCCTGTTGGATGGTGGTTGTTTTCAGCCTGTTGGGGCAGCTGGGTGAGTCAGTGGTTGGAACTTGGGCGGCTGACATGCACTTGTCATGTCAAAGGCAAGACGCGAGCGAGCCTGCTTTAATTTGTATGAAATTGTGAGGCGAAACAATTATGTTGTCGACATGCAACTGCTCGACTGAGGGACAAAGTGGGTTGGCAGGCACCGGCCGTTCACGGATCCTCAAAAGTGCCGCCAAACATGCAAACCCAAATGGAGGACGAGACACTTACACGGAGCCAAACAAAATAGGCAGAAGGCGTGGCCAGCGGCAGAAACAATTTGGATGTTGTGAAACGTAATTCGAGCAAAATTAACGCAATTACTGTGCCGCAGCCAAAGGACTCGATCCTGCCGATGAACTGCAGCGGAAAAAGTTTCCTTCGCGTGCCTGCCCCAAATCGCATTGATAGCGGGCACGGGCAAGGGCACGGGCACAGGCGCAGGCACAGCGAATGGCACTTGGAAGCGTGTCAAAGCTGCCACCTCCTCCAGGCCCAACTCGAGTTGGATTCCAGGCACCCAATCGGTGGCCATTAATGCGGGAGCAACTCCTGGCTAATTCCCATTTCATTGAGTGCCTAGAACTGGGCTGCGATGGAGCACTGCCAACTGGGAGTGGGTATGTTCCAGTTACTGGCACGGCTACCCGGGGCAACCTCAGCTTGATTGCGGGCTGGGCTGGGCTGGGCTGGGCTCGCTTTTAATGGTCGTAATTATTTTCTTATTCAACTGACACGCACTTGTCGTAAAAGTCCATTGAACTGCGGCAAAATTGATTTCATTTGCCGTTCCAGAGAAAAGTTCTGAGATTTTAGAAGTTCATCTTTTAGCTGAATGATCAAACACAGGCAAAGCCTTTATTCGGTGACCATTTCCACGTGCTCGACCAATCCTTTTATCAAAAATTGCATGAAAAAGCAGTGGAATGAAGCATTTTAGCCAGACAGAAAATTGTGGGGGAGTGTCAGGAAATTGAACTTCAAATTGGCTCTCCCACCACTTTTCCACAGGTCAGTCCTGAATGTGAATAGGAACATCGTGGAAATACTGGCCAGCCAATAAAAGGTGGTTAGTCCAAGCAATTCCTTTGCCACAGTCCCACAAATGGAATATTTAATAGGTGGGAAAATGAATTAAAATTGATTTCCTGGCACATTAATCGCCTTGCAGCGGGTTTCTATTATTTTTCCACATTTTATTTCTCCAATAAGTATGCTATGAAATTGTGAAAAGACGCTGAGTGGCCCAACAATGTTGCATACTTTTACGCTGCAAACAAGCGAAAGTATTTTTGGTGCTAGACTCACTGATCCGCCACACCTGGCCACTCGCCCTGCGCATCATCCCAGACGGGAAACTCGGCTTTGGCTGGTGCTCCCTCGCCGCCTGTCTGGCCAGACGACAGCAGCAGATGAGACTCATCCGACTGGCAGATGACGTGTCCCAGCTTAAAATCGAAACAATTTGTATGTGGATCTGTTGCTGTGAAGTGGCTGCTGTCTGATTCGGCTTACCCAACCAACCAACAAAATGGTCACTGCTCGCAGGAATATCGATTGTATCCACATTATGTGTCCGGTTCTCTCCCGCCCTCTCTCTTGCACTGAAGCCTACTGTGGAGCCACTGTTTTCCTGTTGACGTTGACGCTACATTTTTAATCATTTCAATAAATATGCAAAATGTACCGACATATGTACATTTGTGCGAGTATTTACATATGTACATACGTGTGTACATATGTCGCGGCGCTCTATCTGACGCTGCCCGCTTGCCCGAGAGCGAGAGCGAGAGCGAGAGATTTATATGAATGAATAACGAGAGAAATGTGGAAAATTGAAGAATTATAAGAGAGAGAGAGAGAGAGAGAGCGGTACGGTTTGGGGCATAATATTTCATGGTGCATTCCGTCTGACAGATAAGCATGATTTTGCATTCATAAAATGGGCTTAAAGGTGATATCTGAACATAACTTATAGCTGTCTAATTATTGAAAGGATTTTATCTATGAATTGCAGCAATATTATCTGTACCAGTAGCACCTTCAACGCCGCACCGCTTCCACGCCGCTAATTGTCAACTCAAACAAGAGGCGCAAAAATCCCATTGGGGGATGCACACACGCGGCAGTGGGTTGACCTGCGTTCGAGGGGGATTATCTACCTCCGGACTGGTATATAAAGGAGCACTGGGCGGGCAGCAATGGTATCAGTCAACGCATTCAGCTACTCCAATCAAGATGCAGTCTACAATTATTTTCGCTCTGCTCTGCTGCATTGTCGGTGCTGTGGTGGCATATCCGTCGCCGGATGACATGACAATGCCTTCGACGCCAGCGCCTCGATATCCGCTCAATCTGCAAGGCGGTGGCGGTGCACAGGAGCGCGAAGGACTCACCTTTGGGGTGCGTGGCAGCGAGAATGTGTGGAGGAGCGACAATGGACGACACGAGATCGATGTGAACGGCGGCTATGCGCAGCGCTTGGGCGGCCAGTGGGGCAACTCGGAGCCCAGCTACAGCGTCGGCACCAACTATCGCTACAGATGGTAGATGGTAGACCTATCTACACTCTGTCGAACTTTGTACATACCCCAACTACACATATTTGTGAACTATTAATAAAGAATTCAAATATTTACCCATAAACGCTTTAACTTTTAATTTGTGTCCTTGACGGTGTTCGTCTACCCCGGACCATTCAGCGTTCACGAGTTTTGAGGTGGAGACAGGGCTATGGATGATCTTGCAGATTGGCTAATTGTAGATACATCTTTTTTGGCCACAATCTGGCGGGGTAATAACCAATTAGGCGCTGCCAATGACGATGACGGGCGGTCTTAATGAAACCTGCCAAGACATAAATGTTTTTTGCTAATTGGATTTATTACGTAAACTGTCAAAAGAACCTTCGGTGGAAATTTATCATGCAGCATCCGCAGCAGATCATCTCAATCCCAAAAACTCTTGAGACACACAGAAAATATTACGCCATCAGATTCATTTAGCTGCGACTTGTTCTAGGCTCTCTTTAAAGCTTAAACTCTTGGCCATGTTTGGGTTTTAGCCAAAGCTTTTCACATCATTAGCTGACCTTGGCCCATGACAGATCGATGTGGGGAAGCATATTTCGTGGGTGGCTTGGGATATCCTCTTGGGAAACAATTATGACAGGCAGAGATGCGGGAGATGGTTGAGATAAATGCCTCTAATTGCACACAACCCACGGTTACCGAATGATGTTTGAAAGATTTTTAGATTTGCAAGAACTACAGACAGAAATACGGGAAAAGCTTAAAGTAAATATGAGGTGGAGTGACTAATGACAGACAATCTGCTGTTGCCGAATGAGTTTTATAAGATTGTGTGGTTGAAAGAGTAGCAGAAAGTACTCGTAGATTCATCCATGATGTGCCAGGTGCACCCCCGTGGTCTTTTATGTAAGAAAATATATAACTTAAGATTTATTATTCATGTCGCAAGACGAGGCGCCCATGAATAATTCCGTAAACTTTAAGTGTCTCATTTGTTCACCTCATTCGTTGTTGCTGCCTTGGGATTCACTTTTCAGTCTAGAGAGCGACCCTTGTTGATAGATCATATTTCTTATCAATCAGCGGATGGCTGGCTGGCTGGCTGGCTGGCAGATGCGGGGATCTACTTGTGAAGCACTGAGCTGGGTTGCTCTCCCACTCCGATGGGATTCCCTCTGATGGGGAATCAAACCCAATACCCAATCGTTGATAAGACCCTAATCCGAGGTATAAAAGAAGGAAACTTCTGTCCAAGCAGCATTCAGTTCTCAAAGTACAACCCACAACATGGAATTCAAAGCAAGTTTCCTGCTGCTCAGCCTGGCCTGTGCCTGCCTCTGTGTCGCTGCCTATCCCAATCCGTTGGTTTATGCACTGGAAGATGAACCGAATCTGGTCTATATGGAACCCTTGCAGGTGAGTAACCCAAGCCAGAGCGCTGCAGAAGTCCACCAGCTAATGGCCCCTCTATTTTCTAGTTCTTTCCCGATGACATTGACGTGGATGTGGCGCATCCGCGTGTGCGTCGCCAGTGGCAGCTGCAGGGTGGCGGCGGCGGTGGCCCTCGCCAGGGCATTGATCTCAGCCTGAGCGGTCGTGCCCCTGTGTGGCAGAGCCAGAACGGACGCCACTCCGTGGATGCCACGGGACAGTATGCCCAACACCTCGGTGGACCCTACGGCAACAGTCGCCCCCAGTTCGGCGTCGGTGGACAGTACACCTTCAGGTTCTAGGGAATCTCTAAGGCTACCACCGCAATTATGTTAAAGATCCAGCCATTGACATTTATTTATATAATTCGAAATGAACATTAAAAACTATTCATCCAAACATCAGTTGAAAATATCTCTTGCTTTTCGGTCGGGGAATACACAAAGATTGTGGGATCTGGCTGGGGCTGGGGTGTCAGCCACTGGGAAAAAGACATCGAATATTGACATTAAAGCAATGACCTTTAAGCTGTGGGCTCACCTCCTGACTTTCGCCCACAATGGAGCGACCTTGGAGCAGGCCAATCAAATGCAGAATCAACCAGAGACTTAGGGCGGCGAACATTTCTCAGAGAGATGCTAAACACAACTGAAGCTGCGCCCTGACATTGATTGCTGTCCAGGGTGTCGGTCGGTTCTCTCCCGCCCCCCCCGCCAGCTGATAAGACCCTGATAAGGCACGGATGTGTGTCAAGAGCTTCAGAGGCAGCGGCACAGAGCAGACACAGACCAGGTCGAGCCATGCCAAAGCCAAAGCCAAAGCCAAACCCACACCCACTTGAACTGTATTACATTTTGTGGAACGTGCAACTGGCAGTCAAACATTTTTTGGCACGTTTTCTGTTGAAATCGAAAAGAAACCAAACCAAACCAAACCAAAACCGACACAAAAGCGGCACAAAGATGAAGCAAAAAAATATAAAGGAAAACAAAATTTAAATGTTAGAAGCAGCACAGAGCCAACAATGAAGGTCAGGCTATGATGACTTTTTTCCTTATGCCCCAACAATCGAAACAGAAATTTTCGCTCTGCCCCTGAGTCTGCCTCCGCCACTGACTTGAAGTAGGTTTGGGTAAATCTGGAAGTTGCCTTTTGATAGCACCAATTGCTGGCCAATTTTCCTTGTTATACTCTAAGCAAGGGTGAGATGTGCGACTGGAGACACATCCATAAGCCATTCCCCGGGGTAGGGCATGTAGGAACTTCCCTGCATCATTGCGCTGAACTTCTCATCTTTCTGTGTGTGCGCTGCGCTTTTCTCTTTTGTTTGTTCGTTTTCCATGTCATTTTCATGTGGAGGAGTGTGCAGCGATTCCACTGGAAGAGCCATTTTCTAAATCAATGCACAAATTGTCAAAGTCAAAGCTTCTCCAGCGAGAGAGAGAGAGAGAGATTTTCCCTTTGTTGGAGGAAAATTGGCTCCACTTGAAAAATTGTGTGCGGGGTGGGGTGGCTGCTTTGGATTGTTTTCCAAATTGCACATGTGGCAGTCAACTCATTTGTCAAGTGGCAAATCAGTTTAGGCACAGAGACAGACACAGACACAGGCACAGCGAGACAGCGAGACAGCGACAACATGGCCTGGGGCTGGAGCCCAGAGTTAGAGTCAAACGATAAAATCAACTTTACATTTTCCGCCTGTAGCCGAAAGTTGACGGTGAAGACTTTTCCTGTCTTGGGGGCGCACTGATCGTGACGATCGACGGCATTTCCCACGCAAAACTTGCTCCGAGGACAGAGGTCCGTGTGGAGACTGTGGACCGAGGACAGCGACTCTCAGCGATTGCCGCAAGTTAAATTGTTTGACACACTCAACACTCAGCGTCTTGTCTTTGATTGTATCGGGCGAAGCGAACAAACAAACATGCCAGAGATTTATGCTCTCCATAATAGAAGTTTCTAATGAGAGTCTGGGTTTGCGCCGACACAGATGGGGGTGGGACGGAGCGATAGAGAGCGGTGGATGGATATTGTATGGCCCATCTAATGGCTTTTTAATGAAGCCCAAGAGAAGTGGGACATTTTGTCAGCTTAAAGTGGGACTAACTTAGTCAAGTTAAGCGTATTAATTATGATTGGCAACCGGAAAAGAAGAGAACGCAGCCAAGTAGAGATAGACGGAGAGAGAGAGAGAGAGAGAGAGAGTGCAAGAGATGAGAGCGTGGAGCTTAGCGGTGAGTGAGAGCGCGAAGGAGAAGAGGTGAGAGGAAGAGCGAGCGCGAAGGAGAAGAGCGGACTGAGAGAGAGTGAGATGCATAAAAGAGAAATGACCAAAATGAAAAGTGCAAAAGTTAGCAGGTGCCAGACAGACTTTTGGCTTTTCGCATTTGCATTTGACATTTGGGCAAGATGAGCGCTTAACGGCAAAAAGCAAAAAGCAAACGGCAAACTGCAACTGCAACTGCAACTACAACATCCCTCGCCCTCGCCTACTCCTCCTCCACTCCCAATAGACAAAGCGGGATCGCGGCATTTTGGCCTGCTTACTGCATTTGGCCAAAATGTCTATAGTTCAATTGCTGATATTTTGGCCAGACACACGACGAAACACGTGACCTATGGAATGGAGCAGCAGCAGCAGCTGAGTAGCAGACGAAGCAGCAGACGAAGCAGCAGAAGCGGCAACAGACGGAGAACGTGCGCTGGATTTGGGAGTGCAGGAGATGGCAGCGTGACACGAACTATAAGCAGTGGGCACCAAAAGGAAGGGGAACAGGTAAAGGAAGTTGAGCAATTCTGCTTTGACTGGCAAAGAGAATAAATATGAAAATATATCAAGGAAAGTTAAAATAATATCCAATACATAAGTACTGCAAGGACCTCTCTTCTCTGGCTTTGCTTTCGTATAATTTCTCCACACTCACGACACCAAAACACGCACCCATCGCTATAGCCCTGCGCACATGCGAACCAAGAAAAAGAGTTTAATAAATAGTTGCACTTTGATTTAAAACAAATCGGCATCTAATGCTGGCCAAATCATTCAACACAGAGTACACTTCAGTGCTTAGCTTATTCTTTTGCTTCCTAATGAAGGCTGGCTGCAGACTCTGCCACATTGTTGCAGTTGCATATGACAGAGACAGAGGCAGTGGCTGTTGGCTCTTGGCTGTTGTCATGCAAATTGGCCTCACGTTTTGCACATTAGGAGACCGTCAATTGTTCCAAATGCAACAAAATGCAATGATTGAGTTCTTGGCACCTGGCCAAGCCAAGCCAAGCCAAGCCTGCAGCAACATGTCTCCACCGTTCCCCCTCGTACTCCACCCATTCTGAGAACCCGCATGTGCTGCAAGAGGAGTTCTTTTGGCTAATTGGAGTCGAGGTCCGGCTGCCCAACAGGCAGCAATGATGCCTCAACTTCATCTCGATCTTAACCGCAAAAAATGAAGACAAAAATATTTACCGTAACGCATTAAGAGAACAAGAACAAAAGTGGAGTTGTGCCTGCTGCGAGCTGCCTGCTGCCTGCTGCTGCTGCAACTGGCAACTGCAATTGCAGCTTGTGGCAGCAGCAGTTGCAGTATCAGCAGTATCAATAGTAATTTGAAGCCGCTTTTTGGGGGGGAGGCCTGCCGCATGATGGTGTCGTAGGTCAGGCAACAGCAGAAGCAGCAGCAACGGGCAGAAACGGCAGCTACGATTGCGGCAGTTTAAGCCAACTGCAATTTGTGGCCTAGGACATGGCATCGATGCCAGTGGACTCCTCAGCATCTCGGTCTCAACTGCAACTGCAACTTCAACTGCAGCAACAGCAACAGCGTTGTAATGACGATTTGTAGCCAATTATTTCAAATATTGTATTGAAATTGTATGCCAGACATGTGTGGGGTTGTATGTGTGTGCTCGTATCTGTGTGTGTGTGTGTGTGTGTGGTTGGTTATCTTTCGATTGGCATCTTTTCGTCGTACTCCAGGTCCAGGGACTGGACCACGAGCAGCGTAAGCCTCACGTAGAGCCGTCCGAGTGTGTCACAAGTGGCCACAAGTGGACTTCAGCTACGGCCAGTGCCAGTGCCAGTGCCAGTTGTTGCCAATCGATGCCACAACATCTCCTCCCCACAGCTTCAGCTCTCCTGCGGCAAACCATTCTGACATTGCCCAGACTCTTGGCTAAGGTCAGAGTCTCTCTTCAATTCCCATAACCTGACGCATCTTTGTCATGTGTCTGATTAATCACCGAAACCCCAGCCAGTGTCAGCCACAACTTGCAGCATTGTTGGCCAACGGGTCACGTCAACTTTCAACCAGCCATCATCAAGCACGCGCTGCCTGACCTTTGTTGCAGTAGCAGCAGCAGCAGCAGCAGGCAGCGGCAACTATCTGACATTCATACGTTAATTTTAGCTTGTTGCATCAGTCAGTCAGTCAGTCAGTCAGTCAGTCAGTCAGCGGTTGTGTTTGCATGTGTCATTGTCTTTGGTCAACACTAATCAACAAAGAACCAGAGAACCTTTTGGGGAGTGCTCATAGTGCTCTTCAAATGTCAATCAATAAGAAGAGGACACCCCCACATCCTCCCCCTAAATTGAAGGCTTGCAAAAGGCAGCGCAGGTTGGAAGGAAGTTTCAGTTTTAATTGGGAGTTGGCCCACCCAAGAGGTTGACTCCGTGTCATAGCGCTTACAACAGATAAACTACTCAAATCAATGCCAGAGCCATATTTCACATAAAGCCATAATCCATCGCAATTCCGTTGTCTAGTGTGGATTGTTAATCATGCATTTAAAATTCAGCAGCACGATCGACAGGAACAAGAATCAGCCAACAGCTAACAGCCAACAAAGAGGCCCAAGAATGCAACGGCAATTGTCTGGTCTTGGCCAAGGCAACAACTTATTAATACCTTATTAGACAAGGGTCGTCGTCACAGCGACACACAGTGGGACAGGCAGACCAACAGAATCCATCTGTATGGAATATCAATGAGAAACGAAACCGACTTCTGTGGCATTTCCGTTGCAACTTGCAACTTACGTTGAACGGTGAGTCTCATGGGCGACAAAGCAACGGTGATCCACCGATCAATTCTTGGTTCGGGTTTTTGGCCTGCCGCCACAGGAAATGCAATCATAAATCGCCCATGATGACGATGGCCAGGCCGTGGCCATGGCCGTGCAGAGTTTATGTTTATGTTTATGACCGGGCAATTAGCCTGATCAAGAGCTGGGATGGCCAGGAAACGATTCTGTTCCCTCTGCTGGCTGCTGGCTGCTGGCTGGCAGCCTCGGTTGAGGTGAAAGAAAACACTTGTCAGATTGCGTGTTTAATTCTAATAATATAATCTTGCACTCTTGTCTTTTTGCGTTGCTCGCAGAAACATTTGCGTGCCTGGCCGGGGCATTGTCTAAGCCGTTCGCTTGGCCCTCTCCGGGCCAGGCCATACCTTCGCGGGGTGTCTACATTACAGCATCATTAGAATTTGATTTGCATTTCCTTGGAAAGGGGGCTGCTGCCGGCCCAACATGGCATTAGAGCCCATTTAGCTGTCGTGTGGCAATTATTGATCAACAAGGTGCCACAATCGGCCGTGGCCACTGGCAGCCCTGCCATCATGACAAAGACTTTTTGCATTTTTTTGCACCCCTGATGCGCGGTATTTAACTGGTATTT